TTTCCCTGAATGCCTTTATTCCTTTTATGTACCTTTCTTCACTAGTCATCTGACCTCATTTCATCATTATAAATTGTCTTTTGGGCGGTTGCATAGAAGTCTGTTAACTGGTAATATAAATCCCCATGTGGTAATAGAACCCATCCCAAACTTGCTGGTATCATATATTAATATCCAAAAGTATCTGTGCCTTATTGTTCATTGTCTACAACTGCACAACCTCACTTTTCTCTGAGCTCTTAAATAATGTTGCATATTAAAACTAACAACAACCAGAGGAGGACCTTCAAGATGACAGAGGAGTTAGATGTGGAGATCATCTTCCTGCCCACAAATACATCAAAAATACATCTACATGTGGAACAACTCCTACAGAAGACCTACTGAATGCTGGCAGAAGATCTTAGACTTCCCAAAAGCCGTGTGGCTGACAGGGTCTTGGCGCTCCAGCTGGGGGTCAGGTCTGAGCCTCTGAGGTTCGAGAGCTGAGTTCAGGACATTGGACCACCAAAGACCTCCCGGCCCCACGTAATATCAAACGGCGAGAGCTCTCCCAGAGATCTGCATCTCAATGCTAAGACCCAGCTCCACTCAATGACCAACAAGCTCCAGTTCTGGACATCCCCTGCCAAACAACTAGCAAGACAGGAGCACAACCCCACCCATTAGCAGAGAGACTGCATAAAATCATAATAAGTTCACAGACACCCCAAAACACAGCACTGGATGTGGTCCTGCCCACCAGAAAGACAAGATCCAGCCTCATCTACCAGAACACAGGCAGTAGTCCCCTCCACCAGGAAACTTACACAGCCCACTGAACCAACCTTACCCACGGGGGCAGACACAAAAAACAATGGGAACTACAGACCTGCAGCCTGTGAAAAGGAGACCCCAAACACAGTAAATTAAGCAAAATGAGAAGGCAGAGAAACACACAGCAGATGAAGGAGCAAGATAAAAACCTACCAGACCAAACAGATGAAGAGGAAATAGGCAGTCTACCTGAAAAAGAATTCAGAATAATGATAGTAAAGATGATCCAAAATCTTGGAAATAGAATGGAGAAAATACAAGAATGTTTAACGAGGACCTAAAAGAACTAAAGAGCAAACAAACGATGAACAACACAATACATGAAATATAAAATTCTCTAGAAGGAATCAATACCACAGTAACTGAGGCAGAAGAACGAATAAGTGACCTGGAAGATAAAATAGTGGAAATAATTACCACAGAGCAGAATAAAGAAAAAAGAATGAAGAGAATTGAGGACAGTCTCAGAGACCTCTGGAACAACATTAAACACAGCAACATTTGAATTGTAGAGGTCCCAAAAGAAGAAGAGAAAAAGAAAGGGACTGAGAAACTATTTGAAGAGATTATAGTTGAAAACTTCCCTAACATAGAAAAGGAAATAGTCAAGAACAGGAGGCACAGAGAGTACCGTACAGGATAAACCCAAAGAGAAAGATGCTAAGACACATATTAATCAAACTATCAAAAACTAAATACAAAGAAAAAATATTAAAGGCAGCAAGGGAAAAGCAACAAAGAACATACAAGGGAATCCCCATAAGGTTAAAAGATGATCTTTCAGCACAAACCCTGCAAGCCAGAAGGGAGTGGCAGTACATATTTAAAGTGATGAAAGGGGAAAACCTACAACCAAGGTTACTTGACCTGGAAAGGATCTCATTCAGATTCAATGGAGAAATCAAAAGATTTACAGACAAGGGGGCGGTGGAAAGATGGCGGAGGAGTAAGACGCGGAGATCACCTTCCTCCCCACAAATACACCAGAAATACATCTACATGTGGAACAACTCCTACAGAACACCTACTGAACGCTGGCAGAAGACCTCAGACCTCCCAAAAGCCGAGTGGATGAAAGGCTCTTGCTGCTCCAGCCAGGAGTCAGGACTCTGCCTCTGAGGTGGGAGAGCCAACTTCAGAACACTCGTCAAGAAGAGACCTCCCAGCCCCATATAATATCAAACGGCGAAAATCTCCCAGAGATCTCCATCTCAACACCAGCACCCAGCTTCGCTCAACGACCAGCAAGCTACAGTGCTGGACAACCTATGCCAACCATATAGCAAAACAGGAACACAACCCCACCCACTAGCAGAGAGGCTGCCTAAAATCATAATAAGTCCACAGACACCCCAAAACACACCACCAGACGTGGACCTGCCCACTAGAGAGACAAGATCTAGCCTCATACACCACAACACAGGCACTAGTCCCCTCCACCAGGAAGCCTACACAACCCACTGAACCAACCTTAGCCACTGGAGACAGACATCAAAAACAACGGGAGCTACGAACTTGCAGCCTGCAAAAAGGTGAACCCAATCACAGTAAGATAAGCAAAATGAGAAGACAGAAAAACACACAGCAGATGAAGGAGCATGCCCCTGGGGAAAAATATTGTCCAAAAAAAGGTCCTGTTCTAGACCCACCCAGAATGACATAATATTAAGTGTTTTCCATCTTCAACAGTGATACTCTTTTGAGAACTCACAGCCAGTTTGAATTTAGCTAAGTCCAATGTTTTCTTTCTCTTTTTGGTTCATAATTTCCCAGGGGCCTGCTACCTTCGTGCTTAGCTGAAAATGCAGCATTCTCCAGCAGAGAATGCTCTCTGGTATATTTAAAGCAATTAGGTCCCGGGACTTCCCTGGTGGTGCAGTGGTTCAGAATCCGCCTGCCAATGCAGGGGACACGGGTTCGAGCCCTGGTCCGGGAAGATCCCACATGCCGCAGAGCAGCTAAGCCCGTGCGCCACAGCTACTGAGCCTGAGCTCTAGAGCCTGCGAGCCAGAATTACTGAGCCCATGTGCCCCAACTACTGTAGCCCACGTGCCTAGAGCCCGTGCTCCGCAACAAGAGAAGCCACCACAATGAGAAGCCCGCGCATAGCAACGAAGAGTAGCCGCCGCTCGCCGCAACTAGAGAAAGCCGCGTGCAGCAACGAAGACCCAACGCAGCCAAAAATAAATAAACTAATTTAAAAAAAGAAAAAAAGCAATTAGGGCCCTGAATGAGAAGTTCAGTTATAGACAAAGATAAAAGATCAAATTTTAATTAGCTATGGAAATATTATTTTATTAAAGATAGAGTAATTATAAATTATTATAAAGTTATTTTATAAATTGAAAAGAAAAACAAAACCTTTCATTTTATGGGCTCTGTCTATATTTTGCCTTTACCTCATCATTTCACTTAATTCTCTCAAACACTGAGTTGAACGCTCTTATTCCTGTGTAAGGTATTTGCAATTGTGCTACAAATAGGTGACCAACTAGGGCTGAGGGGTTTCTTGGGATGTGGGACTGGCAGCTAAAAGTGGGCAAGTCCCAGGCAAACTGGGACAAATTGGTCACCCTAGAAACTACCCATCTATTTAGTAGCCTAAAACAGAATGATCATTTCTCACAGTTCTGTGGGCTGAATGGGTGGTGGTTCTGCTGTTTTCACCGGAACTCTCCATATGGCTGCTTGGCTGAGGCTGGATGGGATAAGATGTCTGGGGCCTCACCAGAGATGGCTGGCCCTCTTCCTCCATGGAATCTTTCATCACAGCACGGGGGCCTCAGGGTTCCACAGGGTAAGTGTGGAAGCTGCAGGGCCTCTTGAAACCATGCTCAAAAGTTAAGTATTGCCGCTTCGACCACATAGAGTGATGCAGACTCAGCGCCAGCCCAATTCAAGACATGAGAAAATAGACTTCAACTTTCAAAAAATCTTATTGAAAGATTCATTATTGATGAATTGGGAGATTGGGACTGACGTATATACACTAATATGTATAAAATGAATAAGTAATAAGAATTTGCTGTATAAAAAAATAAATAAAATTCAAAAATTCAAAAAAAAGGTAGAATATATACATTATGTGTAAGGAGTGAAAAAATATCACTAGAGATCTACATCATTAGAAGGATTAAGAGAATATAATAAACAACTTTGCTAAAAAATTTGATTACTTTCTTGAAATGGGCAAATTCCTTGA